CAATCCTGACTACGTCCCTGTACATACATACATACATATATATATACATATATTTGTGTTGCCCTAGGAATCGCATCAACCAGCAGCCCTCACCCATTGGTGGGATGATCTCCATAGTCCAGGTCAATATATTGGAGGCCAAAGAACCTTTAAAAAAACAAAAATAGGGTTGTTTCAATTATGTAAACATCAATTTTCTTAGTACTTTTTGCCCTTTTGAAAAACTTTAAAAAACTGAATGTGAACGACCCTTAATTTAATTTTTTTTCTAAAAAAATTGGGTGTGCATGTGGGTGATACCTCACACACACACACACCAAGCCATGTGTGTGTTGGGTCCAAGTTTCCCAATAGAGAATTGTAGGGGATCTAACCCACCAAGCCATGTGGCAAGTCCCACTTCACTTGGTTTGGGCGTGAGTCTTGCATCACCAATGACGTTACACACCTAGAGTACAACACTAACCATCATATTAATAAATTCAGTTACAGCCCTCTTAGAAAAGATATGCATTTAATGTAATAGTACTTATTCTCGAAGTCAAAGGACCAGATCGCCCCTATTGAGACCCATAGGATCATGATGGCTATCGTCTCGAGAGCGGAAGGATTTAGGTAATGGCTTGAGACTTTAAATAGAAACCGTAAGGCATGAAAGAAAGGAGAACTTTTAGTTGATTCTATATTGTATCTTGTATTTAAATATCACCCTCTGTTATTTACAATATTTACGCACAATCAACAACTCCCACAAGGATTATGACAAGTTAATTAATTAGGAGTGAGTATAATTGGAACTATCTACATGAAAATACATCTGAGGTACTCTTTTCATGATATAAATGTGAAGCAATCATGCATGCAACGGTCTAATACCGAAATTAGTAAATATACTGACTTTTTAAAATAGTAAATTATTATTTTTTAGAATAATGATACTTATACCGATTTGTTGCAACGAATTACCTAACCTAATGTTGATAATTGATTATTTATGTACCATACATGCAAGCGGAGACCCACTTTTTTATTTATGCATAAATGGATCAATTAAAAGAAATAAGTCTGGGAGTGAGCCTTCTACTTACATGTATTGTATATAAATAACTAATCAGAAACATTCGGTTAGATAATTCATTACAACAAATCAATATAAATATCATTACTTTATTTTTTATTATCGGTATCAGGATACACAATAATGTTTTCAGCTTAACAATAAGATCGAGGGCATAGCTGTGACAGGCATTTAATTAAACAAGACATGCAAGCAGTATTCTACATGAGTTGGTAAATAAATAAATAAACTATTTCGTTGATGGTCGATATTATATCCCTCACCCATTAAAGAAACAATCAATTATGTACATAACAATTAAAAATTTGCAACAAGACATATATTGAGAAAGTGTAAGATTATTTAAGAATTCTAATTATTATAATTAATTTTTGATTCCTATAAAATAGTGCTCTTTAATTTCTGAGCCATAGATTCCTTCAGTTGGCCGCCAGGTCATATTTTAGAGAGCAATATCCAAAGTAGATCTTTGAAATAAGTATTTTATTATACAGAAATTAAAAACATTGGTTTTGATATATATTCGATGTGGTAACAAATATTATATATATGCACAGAAACATTGATGCACATGCATGCACCTAAATTTTTTTGTAAGATTCCTTCAAGAGACTTGCACAATAAATATATAGGTAGCAAGTATAACTATTTATAAGATCAATCAATGCAAGTTGTCCCTTATCTTTGTGTCACAACCATATAGAAAAAGGTTATATAATATAGGGAAATAATTAATTTGCGACACCAGGTCTGAGGTCTCCAAAATGACAACTTAAAAAAGACAAAAAAAGTTATTTCACAATTTTTTTTTCTTTAATAGAGTACAACCCTAATATCAGTAACGGACCAAAAAAATTTTGTGAAGGGACGGCTTTTTTTGTAAGGGCAAACTTATATAATTGGTCAATTTTTGTAATTTTCATGGAGTTTTTTTCATAAAATTTCTAAAATTCAAAGTATAAAATGCAAAAAAATAAAATTTAGTGGGATGAATTGTAATTTTAGTAAAGTATCTTCATAAATTCTCAAAAGTTTGGAGTATAAAATGTAAAAAAAAAGGAATTCAGTGGGGACGAATTATAGTTTTAGTAGGAACATCTTCATAAATTCTAAAAAAAATTAAGAAATAAAATAAAAATATAAAAAAATTCAGTGGGGGAATCTCTCCCCACTGGTCCTATGTTGGGTCTGTAGATGCCTAATATAAAGACTTGAATCTACAATATTATACTTTAAAATGTAAATTCGAACAAATGCCACAATATATAATTGTGCCTACATGTATTTGTACAGAAAGGTTTTAGAAACAGAAAGTAATTAAGCATTTTCTTTATTTAATTTCATTTCCGGAAAATTTTATTTTCTAATTTTAAGTTGCTCATAAACATATTACATTAACTACCTATTTTTTTTTTTTTAAAAAGTACTCCATGTTGAAAGTGAATTTGATTGAAATCTATGACGCTTTTAGATGTTGAGAATTATACAAATTTCAAAATTGCCACTGAGCTAGCTCTTGAAAGAATCTCTACTCTTAAGACGTCGGCTCCTTCATTCACATAAAATCATACTTAATTAAAAATCTTGGGAATTAATTTGTCGATCAGCTGTCTACTAAATATCTGCAGAGACTATATAATATATATATACATATAGTCCAAACATATTACAGCTGTTGACGCAGATTTGAAGCCAAGTACAAGACGCAATAAGGTGTTTTAGCTCATTCATCCCCTACTTTGAAGTTGGCAAATGCATAAAATATGTAGCTAGATATTATAGAAATATATAAATTAAATTTTAGTCCAACGGATCGCAGCTATTGAAACAATATTGAAGCCAAGTACAAGACGCAAAAAGGTGTTCTCACTCGTCATCTCTAATGAAAGTTTGCAAATGCTTAACATTTTAGCTTTAGTTTAGCAAAGTGACAATAGGTGGTTGGTAGATACATTATACAGGGGCATGAAAGTCAAGATTTTACCTTTATAAAAGTACTGAATTATTGAAAAGTAGTTTTCCATGTGGTGCAAAAGTCAAGCTGTATGTCTCATGGTCGTCGCACGTGTCTTCAATATATTTTTATTGAAATTCGAAATATATGTTTAGTCAAGAAATAGTCCCATTAATTGACCATGAACAAAATAATATTAATTCAAGTTTGCTATATCAACATTCAATTTTCTTATTAAGTTATCTTTACTTATAATTTAGTGATATCTTCTTTACTTTTAAAAATAAGATGTTGTAAAATGAATAATATAAAAAGAATAGTGAAATGACAGACTAATGGATGTCTGAGTATGATCCATCAAAAATATATATTCTTTTCGTTCCAATTTAAATGTTGTTTTTGGAAAGTAGTAATTTTTAAAGGGACACGTGGGACATACATTGTAAGTTACTAACTTGTCTTTTTACGTTTTGAATATTTAATTTTGAAATTTTAAACTCCAAGAATGTATATTGAAAGATGTGATTATTTTACTACCAAAAAAAAAAAAAAAAAAAAAAACATGATACTTTTTTTGAAATGGAGGGAATACATTTTTGCCTTTCAATAAAAAATATTATATATATATATATATATGATTTTTTGAAAAGTCTTGATTCGTTTAGTTGGAAGGATAGAAAAATGGATGGAAGAGAAATGGGGAGGGATGAATGGAGCTTTCCTGCGAAGGTAATGTGTCTCTCCTATTTTTTTTTTGGTTAAATAGAATGCATAGTGAAAATGATGAATGGTGTAAAAATAATATAAAAAATTGAAACAAGACACTTTTTTTTTTTTTTTTTGAAAGAAAGAGAGAGAGAGTTTTTATATTATTTTTACTAATACACCCTCATTATATAAAACTATAAAAGGTAGATAATTATTTCAATTTTTTTAAAAATGTTAAAATTGAAATTTATATTTGTAAGTAATTATTCCTTCTTTCTCTCTTCTCTTCCCCAAAAAGTTAAGAGGATAGAAAGCATAAATAAATGAGGGACACTTCTTCATCCCTCTTTGCTTCCTTCCCCTCTTGCATTCCTTCAAACCAAATATAAAAAATGTTCATCCATCCCTCCACAATCACTACCTGCAACTAAACATAGCAAAGACTCTTAGTAGTCCATTTTTTTGATTTAGGGTATCCCATATTAATTGTGTCATTTAAAAAGTCCAAACAAAACCATGCTATCATTCTTAATTACTTTTTTTTTTTTTTTTAAATCTCAAAACCTAGTAATATATTAGGTACATATCTAAATTTTAAAACATAATTTTGTAATTTTAAAAATAATAATACATTAATTACATGTCTTTTTCAAAAGTCATAATATAAAAAGTAAACATCAAAGGATGTATATAGAAGAAAAATGTTAAAAATTATGAGTCGCGGTGGACTATGGGTCCACCACGCTGTGTACCACACACAATCCACTCCCACTCCCGCCTACGCAATAAATTTCATTTGAACTGGCGTTCAATTATTGACAATGCAAACACTTTGTACATTATTTTTCTTCGCATTGACCAAAAATTTATACGCTCGTGTTATATAAATACTAAATTTTTATTCCGAACAAATTAGAAGTACTACCGACGTGTAACTAAAATAGCAATATCACTAGCTGCAACCCCTAAGTATTAATTGTTTTTTTTTTTTTGAAAAGGAGCCTAAAGTATTAATTGCGTACATAGATTGAGTTGGTTTCCAAAATGGAACGGAAGTGGAAGGAATGGAAGTAGCCTGGAAGGGGAAGTTTTGGTGGAGTGTTTGGACCATAGACTTACATATATAAATCCATCAAAGAAAGGAAAAGAAAGGACAAAAAAGAGCACGTCATCGTCAGTTAGAGAGTGTGCGCCCTAGTAGCTTCACTTCCCAATACGATAACACAAACACCTCCTTCCTCCCACCACCCTCGAAACCTCGTGTGAAACCTCCTCTGCCTCTTTTTTAAAGCAACAATATATATATATATATAACCTCAATTTGTACTATATATATCAACCCCAATTCACTCCCTATTTTCCACTCATCAAATTTCCACTTCACTTTTGTATCTCCCCCTCTCTATATATATTCCAGCTTAGAATCTGAACATATATATATATCTATCTCTCTCTCTCTCTCTCTCTAAAAATCATCTCAAACTAGAATTCAATGGCCTCACCAGTCGAAGCGTCAGCTTTGCAGGTGATTAGCCAAGACCTTCTCAATGACGATGACTTTGCCTTCATGGACAACTTCGTAACTAATCTCAATTTTTCTGCCTCTGAATCATCTGAAATTTCGAATTCCAAAACTTCTAGTTCTGACTCTCACTCTGCCCTTCACATCACCAACACTTTTGAATTTGATTTCTTCAATACCTCCCCCAATTCTACCCTAACTGATTTTAATCACTTCGAATTCGAAGCAAAACCGCAAATTGCCGTCGATACGAAGATGCATAAGCCGGCGAGCTTGAGTGATCGCCGGCCGTCCTTGAGCATCTCGGTTCCGTCGCCGGTGAAGAAGGTTGAGTTGTCGGGATTTGGGGGGATCAATAGGCCGCCGGTGGTGCCGGCGGCGGTGAATGAAAGGAAGGTGTCAGATTATGGAGAGAAGAGGCATTACAGGGGAGTACGGCAGCGGCCGTGGGGGAAATTCGCGGCGGAGATTCGGGACCCGAACCGGAGAGGTTCTAGGGTTTGGCTGGGGACGTTTGACACCGCGATTGAGGCGGCGAAGGCTTACGACAGAGCGGCTTTCAAGATGCGTGGAAGCAAGGCGATACTGAATTTTCCTCATGAAATTGGGAATCCGCCGGAGTCTGAGCCGCCGGCGCAGACTGGCCGAAAGAGGCGCAGAGAGAGTGAGACGGAGGAGAAACCGAGCGTGACGGTGAAGAGGGAGAAGTCGCCGGAATCTGACAACAAGACGGAGAGTGTTTCTGCATCAGTTGTTCCTTTGACGCCGTCGAGTTGGGCACCCGTTTGGGATTATGGTGACATGAAGGGTATATTTGAAATACCTCCGTTATCGCCGTTATCACCCCATCACAGTCTCGGCCATTCTCCGCTTATAGTCATCTGAGAACTATTATCAGAGAAAAAATAAATAAAAGATAATAAAAAAAAAAATTAAAAAAAAAAAAAAAAAGGTGATAAGAAAAATCGGGATCAGCTTACGTATGTCCTCTTCTTTCAATCTAAAACGAAGAGATTTGGAGTTTTTAAATACTATTGTGAGAGTTCTTTATTACGAGTATTAGAAAAAAAAAAAAAAAAAAAAAAAAAAAATCAGATAAAATTAGGGTTTTTTTTTTTTTTTTTCCTAGATAAAATTAGGTTTGATCGACCCGTCTCAGAGATCGTGGTAATGATTGATGTAAATATGTAAAAGCATCGTATAATTTGTTCAATTTGTTTATTTATTTGTAGTATTAGCAGATGAATTATGGCAGTTGTTCAATTTGTTTATTTATTTGTTGTATCAGCATATGAATGCAGGCAATTTTATATAATATATGTATGATTATGATACATTTTTTTGTATTCAATTTGTCACTATATTTTTTTACTGGTTGAGAAATAGAAAATTTGGTATTAAATTGATAAAAGGGCACAATCAAAATACCATTCTACTATGGATATTATCAATTGGCATGCAAGTATTCAAATCTGTGTAATCGTAAAAGAGCAATATTGAAAGGATGTATACCATTCTTATTAGTAACGTGAATTAATAATAAATATACATATCATTTTTAATTATTAAATTTAATATGGTGGGTAAATACTTACTTATCAAATCACAAAAATAGTGATTTATTATTGGTCCACATCACTAATGAGAATAGTGTAGATCCTCTAGCGAAGAGTTAAGTATTATTCATCATAAAAAGCAGTATGTGTTGGCAATAAATCTTTAGCTTTTTTTTTTTTGAAACTAAAAGTGGAGTTTTTGTTTTTGTTACATGATAGTGATTTTGGAGTTACAGCAGAAATATTTTATTTTTCTCCATTCCATTGAAAAGTAAGATAGTAGTTAACAAGTTGACATGCTTCTATAAAGATGAGAAAGAAAAGGGAAGTAGAAATTTGGACTTGGAATAAAAATAGTAGAATATTCAACATGTCCTATATTTAGGAGCATCGAATCAGAATTTTAGATTTTGTATTTATAAAATTTTAATAAGAAACAGACTTAGATGTTCATTTTATCTTCCCTGTAGAGTTAAGGCTCCTACAAGTGGTCGTATATTGATTTTAAATTCTCTAATTTTAAATTCAAATTGTCATTCAATACTCTCAAATAGCAATTTAATTTTTAATGACAACATAATGAAAAAGGTGTCGTGTAAAATTTTTAATAGTTATGTGTGCTAAAAAAAATTAGTAAAATGGAATTACATTAAAAATCTTTATTGTTCAAGAACGTTTTATTTGCAATATGTATAGCATGAACACGGACACGGAATATAAATACGACACGAATATATAGACACGTCAAATTTTTATAATATAGGATACCAGTATGACTTGGACACGATTATATATAAATATAAATTTTTATTTATATACATATATTAAATAATAGCATTATATTGTAATGACTTTTATATCATATATATATATATATAGTTATTCCACTCCTTTGTTATAATAATAATTTTATTTTAAATGAATAAATACTATTTAATATTTCACTTGTGATCATATGTGTATGGAGTGATGTTATTTTATTTTGCCCAACTATAAAAAACCAACGACTCCTTACGTGGTTGAATACATGTTAAATGATGGCTGAATATGTCAAATGACAATAAAACTTTTATCTGCGCCTTTTATTTATTTATTTATTTATTTTTTAGCGTTCTTCTCCCTAATTGAACTTCCTTAAAAACAAATAGGATCGCCTCCAACAACATAATAACTGAAAAAATCATTGAATTACAACCGACAAAAACAGCCTCTCGATTTGATTTGAATTTAAGTTTACATAAAATATTTTATGATTTTTCTGAATGTATATATATGTACATGTATATATATATTTTGTTCTGTTTTGTGAAACTGCTCTTATTTCCCTTACTTTTAGATCGAATTTTTTAAGCCTTATTATTTTAGATCTTGAATTTTTAGTCCTAAATTTCACCGATACGAGAGAATGAGGTGAGAGATTAAAGTTAGGTTACAAATTTATGCGGAAAAAAAAAAAAAAAAAAAAAATTAGGGATGGAGTGTGGGAGTGAACCAAAGTAAACACTGCAAAGACGGAAGAGTTGGGAGTCCAAATTTGTGCTAAAAAGTTGAGGAACATACGACGAGAGAGAGTTTGAGAGAGAAATTTGGGATAGGGTGAGAGATTGAACATGTCCCGCCACGTCAGTCAGTCGGTAAAAAGTTGTCGACAAAAATATCATTTTTCATGTTATAAATGTTTGAAAGTGTCAATTTAAGTGTCGGTAAAATATCCGAAAGTATGGTGAAAGTGTATGCAAAGTGTCTGAAAATATTGAAAAAGTGTTCAAAATAATAAAAATATATATATATTTTTTTATTTAAAGACACGTATATAAATTATCGAACGCAAGAGTATCCAACATGAACACGACATTGGTATAAACTCCTTCGTGCTTCATAGTTTACAATTAAACCATACAAAAATATTTGTGTATTAAAAACACATAAAATAAAAGCCAAATTCCTAAAACAATAATGAATAGGATTAATTACAGCCGACATCGAGTGAGAAAATATGAATGTTTTGCATGCTATTGAGATAATGATATAATTGTCTTGTGGGCCATGTTTACAGGTCAAACAAAGGAACATGGTCAGTTTCTTCGGCATGAGTCAGCTACATGCTTTGAATTTAATCAGTATACAAGGGGCGTCAGTGTTACTCAAAACAACAACTTGCCTTCTGTGTCCCCACAAACTACCAAAAGTGTCTCCCACTCTCCATTCTCAAGTTCGTTTGCTAAGCAAATGAGCAGTTTTTGAAATTAATTTTTAACTAGAATCGTGTTATTATCAAATCAATCAATTAAGCTGGCGAAGGCTTGTTGAGTAATCAAACCAATCAGTATAAGCTCATAAACATAAATTCACAAACTTGTATAAGCTCATACAAATTTATGAAAGAACTACAACTATCTTGAATAGGAGTTCGAACAACTTTTGGTATTGAATGACTCGTACCAAAACTTTTTAAAATTGTAATGAACCAAGCTGAACTGAACTCACAAATAAATGAGCTTAACCCTAACAACAGGTGACATGGTATTAATGATACCACAAAGTAACGAGTAAGCCATATAGGTTGTAGGTTTTTTTTTTTTTTTTTTTTTTTTTGGGACAAATTAAGGGAAATAGGGACTCAAACTCGAGAGTTTGTAAACTCTACTAACAAGACCACTGTGAAGGCTATGTTATGTGACAAAAAGGTGAAGAAATAGACAGTAGGTGACATGGTATTTCTTCTCTAAGTCACACAATTCTTCTTAACGAGTGTCGCTCTTACGCTCCTCGCACACTCTCGCTCAAATTCTCATTACTTATAACTTAATTCTGCTGCTCCTACGCTTCCACTCTCATTTTTCGCTCCCGCTTTATGTGAGTTAGTTTCTGATACCACTTAGCATGTGGCACAATAACACCCTTACACTAAAAACCTTCTCCAGTGGGTGCCACACTGCCACTTTTGTTATTTGAATTGCAGAAGTCTGAAAAGGACAGGAAGGGAAGTGTGGAACATAATTAGAGGACAGGAAGTCTGGCACGAGGTACTACTTAGAAAAACATACCTATGAAAGGAGAAACTATTTCACATGCAACTTGGACAGGACAATAATTAAATCGTAGCTCACCTTAAGTCACAAAGAGCGGGAGTTCGAAAGCAACATAATCTAAATTACACAAAACGGGAACATGCACTGAACCTAAAAGCAACATCTATTTAAAAGAATTGCGTGACTTAGAACTCACCCCCAAAGTCCGGTTTGAACTCAAGTAGAAGTTATTTTTATAAACTCAAGTTGGTTGAGGCTAAACTTGTATTAATTGAATTATGCTGTGATTGTCATGGCCCTAATCTTCTATGGACAAAAGTTGGATTGAAAGTGTTCGTCCAAAAATTGGATTGGGCTTGAGTTGCATTCCATTCGGCCCATCCAAATTGCATCCTTAGAATAGAGGTAGCTGATATCAAAATCAAACTTGGAAGCTTCTTGTAAACTTGCAAAGAGATTTTGATAAAACCCAATACAAAATTTTAGGAAACTACAAAAAAAAAAAAAAAAAAAAAAAGAAAAAAAAAAAAAGGAAAAGAAAGGGTGTGATGTACATAAGGGCAACTTTAGAACTGACTAATTCCTGATATAAATATAACACTGATGAACAAGAGAAAACAAGGTTCTTACATGTAACAATATGATTCACTGTCGTGAAAGTAAAATTCTGAATCTGGGATTTCGAGTATGGTGTGATAGAGAAATGGCAACAAAAGGCTAACATCTTGCAAGAAATATATGCAACGGTAGAGGGAACCCTATCCTCCGATACCTGAAACCTAACTAGGGTGAGAGCATTAGCTCTAGTTTTGAAATATGTCTTCAAAAACACTCTTAGATGACAGATTCTCTCGTCCTTTATTTACTACAACCCTAAAGAAGTTACTTAAGGGTTTTGTACATAAATCCCAAAAAATATAAGAAATTTTTTAAATACCCTATGCACAGAACTTCTATTGCAAAAGCACCCCGATACTACCCCAGAGGGCCAGAACATCTACTAAACATATTTGCTAATACTAGTAATTATTTTTTTGATTGGGCTAATATTGGATATAGTAATAAATTTTTATTTTTTTTTTGAAATGGGCTCTGGATCGTCTTCAATTCAACCCCGATTAGCCACGTCGAAAATCAAAGATGATATGTCTGGGCCTTTTGGGAAGTTCCACCTCACATCATTTTCACCCAACTTATTGAAATTTTGTATAGATCAATATAAGCCCCTAAGAAAACCTTTCTTATAAGGAAGAAAAGAAAAAATAAATAAATAAATAAAAAATTATATACATCTCCATCAATAAATAAATAAATAAAACATCATCATCAGTTAGCTGGCACGCAGCTTCAGTTGCCAATGGGATAATAAAAAGAGCTCCTTCCTCCCTCCACCGTAGAAGCCTCACGTGAAACCTCCTTTTTATGTGTGTAAATGTGTGTATATATCCTACCTATATATTTCAACCCCAACTCACTACCTATTTTTCACTCATCCAATACCCACTTCACTTTGCATCTCTCTCCCACTATATTCCAACTTAGAATCTGAATCTCTCTCTCTCACTAAAAGTCATCTCCATGGCCTCACAATACCAGACCTCGACTTTACAACTCATCAGTCAACACCTTATTCACGACTTCGCGTTCGTTGCTGATCTCAATTTCTCTGCCTCTCAATCATCTGAAATTTTGAATTCCCAAACTTCTAGTTCTGGGTCTAACTCTGCTCTTCGCATCTCCAACAATTTTGAATTTGATTTCTTCACGAGCTTGTCCAATCCCAACCCAACTCATTTTGATCACTTGGAATTTGAACCCAAACCGCAAATTTCGAATACGAAGACGTATAAACAACCGACTAGCTTTAGTGATCGCCGGCCGTTGTTGAGCATATCGGTTCCGTCGCCGGGGAAGAAGGTTGAGTTATCGGGATTTGGGGGGAATAATCGGCCGCCGGTGGTGCCTGCGGCGGTGAATGACAGAAAGGTGACGGATTCCGGGGAGAAGAGGCATTACAGGGGAGTACGTCAGCGGCCGTGGGGGAAATTCGCGGCGGAGATTCGGGACCCGAACCGGAGAGGTTCTAGGGTGTGGTTGGGGACGTTCGATACCGCAATTGAGGCGGCTAAGGCTTACGACAGAGCGGCGTTCAAGCTGCGTGGAAGCAAGGCGATTGTGAATTTTCCTCATGAAGTTGGGAGTCCGCCGCAGGAGTCTGACCCACCGGCCAACACTCGCCCGAAGAGGCGCAGAGAGAGTGATACGGAAGAGACAGCGAGCGTGACGGTGAAGAGGGAGAAGTCGCCGGAATCTGACAACAGGACGGAGAGTGTTTCAACGGTAGTTCCTTTGACGCCGTCGAGTTGGACAGCCGTTTGGGACTATGCTGACGTGAAGGGTATATTTGAAGTACCTCCGTTATCGCCGTTATCACCCCATCCTAGTCTGGGATATTCCACGCTTACAGTTATCTGAGAGGTTATTATCAGAGAACCAAACTAAAAGAAAAGAATAAATAAATAAATTCTTTTTGGTCAAACGCTCTTTAAACAGAAATGGTGGTAATGATCAAGAGTTAAAAATTATTTTGATGTAAATACAGTAATAGCCAAATGTAATTTGCTCAATTTGTTTATTTATTTATATAATATAAGTGTGCGTGTGTGTGTTATTATATATATATATTTTGTATTCAATTTGTCACTATATTCTTTTTTTTTTTATTAGTTGAGAATTGAGAAATAGAAAATATGGTATTAAATTGGTAAAAAAAAAAAAAATTCATTTACCACGAATATTACTACCACTTAGCATGCAACATGCAAAGTAATTATTGCTAAAAATGTGAAAAAGTAAGAGCTCGAGAACCTGTGATGCTCACAAATGAAGATGAAAAATGAACATAAATGCAAGTTAATGGCAGAAATGTCATGATTAGGTCAAACCTTAGTAGAAAGAGAAGTGGTAAATGTTTGAAATTTATCCCTTTAATGTGGCAAAATTAGTTGGAGTCACCGCCATATTTAAAAAAAAAAAATGTGTTTAACAATGAAGAATGCGCAGAGTTGTAACTCTTTACCAACGAAACAGTAATCTAATGATATCAGTACTCATATTAAGAAAATTAAATAATAATAAAATATAAAGGTATTTTTATTTTTATTTTTTAACAGCAAAATAACATCAAATGGTTAAGATTTCAATTTTATTATTATTATTATTTTTTTACTTAGAATGGATTAAGGTAAAAACTATAGCATGGTGTTTTTGTGCATTAAAGATGAAACCTAATAGGCAAATTGTTGAAGTATTTTATTTTTTAGTGGAAAGTAAATATATAACATTTGCATCGTATTAGAAAGTAATGATCCGGCGGGCCGTGTTGAGACTTTGTCAAAGGCACATGGTCACCTTCGTCAACAGTCAGCTGCATGCTTCAAAGTTAGTAGACAACGGTCGTGTGTCCACTCGAACAACAACTTGCCCTTTGTGTCCCTACACATGCCCTTCCAGAGATGGTGTACTAGAGTCTCGTATCCACAACAACTTGCCCTTTTTCTACACCATTCCCTTTCAGAGATGGTATACTAGAGTCTCATATCCACGACAACTTGCCCTTGGTGTCCCTACACCATTCCCTTTCAAAGATGGTCTACTCTCTTCTCAGATCCACAACTAACTACCCATGATCCACACTTACCTCCCTAAGGTTTCTGCCGAGTGCCCTAACAGTATGGGGAGAATTTGTTACATAAATCACAACCTCAGAAGAAATAAGTGAAATTATGAAACGTAGAGGGATCTACGTGAAATATTAACAAATCTTAGGAAAGGAAAGCTCTCAAACCACTTCAAACCCAACAGTTCCAATTTGAACTTATTTTTTATAAACTTAACTTGGTCTGGTTAGGCTCAGACCAACTTAATTTTTTATAAACTTAACTTGGTCTGGTTAGGCTCAGACCAAACTTAATCTAAACTAGAATTAATTGAATGAATTATGCTTGGATTGCCCTTGGCCCATATCCACTATGAGTTGAAGTCGGATTGAGAGTTTTCCAACTCAAATTTAACCTAAACAATTACAAAACAGAGCTACTCAAAGTCCGTTCAAAATTTGGATTGGGCCTGAGTTGCATTCCATTCGGCCCATCCAAATTGCATCCTCAGAGGTTGTAGGCTTGTAGCTTGTATCAAATCAATTTGGAAAATAGAACTTGCAAAGAGATTTTGATAAAAACCAATACAAATGTCAAGAAAACTATAAAATTTTAGAGAAAAATATAAGGATGCTAGGAATAATTAGAAAATTTTTTAGAAAAGAATGATTTTAGAGGTGAATTTTGTCTCTAGAAGGCCATGAAGCTGCTATATTTTTCAACTTGGGGAGAGAAAAAAAAAAAAAAAAATCTTTTCAGTTAGCAGATCGGATCAATACCATTATACTAGTTCAATTCTCAATTTTTTACCAGCCTGCCAAAAGAAATTATTTTGAAGCATTACAGTGAAAAAAAAAACAAAAAGGTTCTTAGAGAAGAACGATTCGTCGCAGTAAAGTTGGTCATAACAATAACATTTGGTTATACAAATTTCTGTGGCTGAGACCCCATATGAGATAAAAGGTAAGAATGGTGGTGGTGATTGATTATATAAGAATTTCTTCTATAAACAGCGATTTAATTGAAGTTTTGCGAATACAAACGTACATATTCATAAACCTAGAATAAATGATTACCAGACAATTATCTGCTTGATGTGAGCCATATGAAAGTTTCTTAATTGAACTGCGAAAGATGGAGATTGAAAGCATAGTGGCAAGTAAAACTAGTAAAGTTGTACTTACATTGTTCGTTGCTTAGATCCATAACATCTAGATAGAAGTAATCTTCATGTTGTTGATCTCATCAATGGTCTCTCTGTCAATTCTTTCTTGCATAAGCTTATTTCGTAGTAGGAAACTGGGTTGGTTTGTGGATGCAAGAAGTCTAGCCCACATCCTGTCCGTCAACTTGACAGTGTTCTGAGTATCGGTCACACACTGCAGCATGCCGCTCAAAATTAGATTTTCACATGGCTATTAATCAGTGAAGCACAAGAACATGGTGCATTTGCTAAACTCGAATTAGTTTCAATTGTTTTTTCATTTATGATGTATGAATTAGTAGCGCAGGCGCACAGCCACTTGCTGATCTACAAATAATAGGAGCGAGAGTCCTTAAAGTCATCAAAGGTGGTTTTCTGTATATGCTCAACAAAAATACCATCTCCTGGACCTGATTGGGACTTCCATATTCCAAAAACTTTGTAATCTCAAACATATGCAGAAACTAAATTAAAGAAACACCTACCGCAATTGGAATATAGGCATGTCTGCTGTTTACGGGTCCAACTGTGAAGCCAGTATACCCTGCCATGGCCCCGTGAACCGCACTATGAGCAAGAAGTGAACAATAGATATTGTCGGATGCATTACTGGGAATAGCTCGGATCATGTATGTTGGATCTGTAAATATAGCATACAATTAGAAATTCCACTAAAAAAATTGAACAATAGTACCTTAGCAATTGGTCCAGTCTTGATTGTATACTGAAATGTCACACCTTGGCTAGTATGCAGAAAGTGTTGGCCACTTGTCCGAGATTAAGAAATTTATTTTAAATTATACACACATTCAAAATGTATTGGACACATATGTGGAAGTGTCTAATATGCATCCACGTTTTACAGTTGGACACATTTCTACCTCATATATAACTCCCGAGGAGTGTGTACTTAGATCATCATCAAAGTTTCTTTCTTTTTAATTAATTAATTAATTTATTTTTTTAGTAAGTCACTCACACATGCACCCCCTTATTGTCCCATTGGGAACTTAAACCTTTTACCTTCCATTCAGAAGAAAGAAGAGATACCCCTTGGTGATAAATCATCATTAAAGTTGGGTAACACATTGTTCTGACCACTCTGAATAATAATTTATATATACTGAAATATAATTTCTTTTTACGATGAGTAAGAAGACCAATTGTGTTGATGAAACAAAAAGTGAGACCCCCTGTACACAAGGAAGAATACACAACCAAAAAAGACTTAAAAAAGAAAGAAATTGAGCAAAATGTTAGTCAAACCCATTTAAATTCCAGTGAACTACAGCAACCAGAAATAATCACACAAAAAATTGGGAAGTACCTATGTATTTTAGATTTATTGCCATCTTCTGGACACTTGTGAAATGATCCTGTGACATGGAGCATAAATACATTAGATAATTGTATTTGAAACGTTAGGAAAGAGACTAGTAAATAAATATCATTACTTAAAACAAATGAAAAAGAAAAAGCATCCAACCAAAAAGAAAGGTTGATTCAATGACAAACACTACATCAATTTAGTCATCAAACAATGCACAAGATGCGAATTCAGATGAAGTAGGTAGAAGTGATTGAGGATGGCAGTCAAACATCATAGAAGATGGATAACAGCCTTACACTTACTAAACTACTTATTAATGTTTTTTTGACCAAAACTTTAGCAGAAAAACTTCATGTTAAAGGAAAACAGTGAAAAAAATTAAATAAATAAAATTTAAGAAAAGGGGGATACATTCAAACTCTCACATCAACTCCAAAGAATTGGACATTTCAACAGGTTCTTAAATACAAGACCTAATATCCTAAAATGCACAAACCACTGACAGAAGCAAATTTAAAAAGCCAAAATCTTATGCGAAAGCACATGAAGGAGGGACTGGGAACATTGTCTATTAGGACCTCATAACAGAACATATCCAATTTAGTGAAGGTAAGTTCAATAAACAACCAAGGAAATTATCTTGAACCGGACCTTAATCTCTTGAGTTAACCATAGACCAACATCTAAAAGAAGCCTGTTTCCTGATGCGTCTTTCTCATCGACTGCACGCATGCCTTGGGCAATATATTCCTGTCCTGCTCCCTCTGCCAACACGATCACCACATGCCTGTTTTCTTTAAGCCGCTCTTCAACAAACTCAAAAAGTCCACCTTCACCTTCTAGATAGAATGGAGACTCTGGAATCAAGCAACAATCCTGTTACAATCCAAAAGCTATTAACAGATCTTGTGTTAAATTATATATATATATATATTTTTCCTAGTTGGGTACTCACACACACATGCCTCCACTGAGACTCGAACCCTTGACCTCTCTTTGAAAAGTAGGGGTTTGGTACCGCTAGGCCACTGGCCTGTTGGTGTGTTAAATTATATTATTAGTAAGGTTACAAACACAATCACTCTGGGACCATTTTTCTGACCACCATTTTGTTTATTTAATTCTTTAATATCAGCTCTCTAATAACTAATAACCATGGGAGACCGCATACAACTACACTTTCTCGAAGTACTTACTGTACACTCTAAACAAAACTCTCTTCTGTAATTTTTTTTCTTTTGCTCCAAAAAAGCACGTAACTATTTTAAGGACCACAGCCAAACAATCCCGACTAATAGAAGTATATTGAATTTTTACAAAATTTAACAAATCTTTTTGCAAGCATACTACTCTATACGCAAAAAATGACCTTGTAATTTTTTTTACTTCCACCAGAAGATACATTTAAAGTTTTCTTGACTCATGAAAAGCTCCATATTTAGATCAAGGGTTTATTAGCTCTTGAGATGAAATAACCCAAAACTTTGCTTTATGTATGACCTTGGTTGGAATTAAGAATGAATTTATGTAGGTTTTTAGACTTATTTCCCATAACCAACACTGTAATAAGTTCATACAGTTTCTGAAAAGAAAAAAAAAAATTGTGATTATTATGTACTAGAATTATTGCTCTTTCTTCCCCAGTATGGTTACCAACTTACCATAGAACTAAGTAGTAGGTCTCAAAAAATTATTAATTATTAGAAGCATTAATTCGTTCCTCTTATTTACTCTTATTTTTGGGTCAATGTAACTATTAAAATTGTTTATTTAAAAGAGATGGAAAATGGGAAGAAACCCGTAAAATCACTGTATAGACAATGGAATTATGTGTTCCACGAATGGAAGGGGACTTGAAAACTAGCTAAATGAGCTGCAATTTAATTTGAAGGCGCAATAAATAAACATCTTATGGATGCTACAAGCTACTACTATAAATTTTTGCTAACACGAGCCACTGTTTCCTAATAGTAAGAAAGGTAAAAACTAGAAGTGAAAAAAAAGGCATGTAAACACAATGAACAGACAAGCTTTATAAAATTTTGAAAAAATAAATTTACCCATAAAATTTTGAGGGAAAACAAATTAAAAAAGAAAGAAAGAAACTAGAAAGTTTAACAATTATCTCCCTAGGCTGCAATGGCATGAAAATTTGCATCCTCAAAGGTCCATTAACTATTCCAAATGGGCGGAACCAACCATGCCAGCCTGCAAATTGAATGCCCATGACCCGTATGAGGACATCCTAGCCCAGTCTCCGGGCCTTAAGAATGCAGTATTGGACCTCTAATCAAGCCAGGCATAATCGGGCCTCAAGTAGCTCAATTTCATGCTCCAATTGGGCCAATCACAGGCCTAATTGAGCCAGGCCTTGATTAGGTTGAAACCCATTCTCTAAGGGCCCATTTACTAACGCTTTCACTTTCTTTTTTTTTATTTTCTTCAAAAGTAAAATTATGATTTTCATTTCTTGAATCTAAAATAGAAAGTAAAATACGTTCATTAAATCCATACTATTTTCAAATTTTTGAAAGTAAAATAACAAAAGTAAGTTTAATAATTTTGTTTTTGTTTTTATTTTCATATATAGAAGTAAGAACCAAGAAAACCACAAAAGTCGAATACCACAAGAAAAAAAAATTAATTGTTCCTCTTTCCAGATCCATACCAAGCCTTCACCCATCTAAGCCTCAACGGCCTTAACCAGATGTTTCTCTCTTAAAGCCCTCTGCAAAAATTGTTCCTTCTCTGCTTCTGACCTACCAATCATTCCTTCATTCATCCCCAAATTGTCGTCGTCCTCCAAAATTCTCGGCCGTGAAGAATTTTTAGGGTTGTTGTGAGCTCTTATCTTCTCCGGAAACGACGACGCTGGAATCAAGAAGTAGATTCTGCCGGCCTTCATCTTCAATTCCGGCGATAGAATCAGAAAATAGTTTGATTCTAATATTGTTATTTTTTAATGGTTTTGCTTTTAGTTCTTGAATTGGGCATTTATATGGTTTATCTAGGACTTTCCTGAGTCTTTATCAGAGAGTGAGTTAGAATTGCATCATCCAATCCCAAGAGAACAATGAAAGCAACTGAAAACTCAGGCATAACTCCATTGATTTGAGACCTTTATTGGAGATAGAGTTAGATGCCGCCTCTCATTGCTTTGGTGGTTACCGGTATTATCGCCGATCAACCGGTTGCCGGTATTGTCGCCGATCAACTGGTTGCCGGTGGAGTCGCCGATCCACTGGTCGCCAATTTACGGAAGGTGTGTCGTCGAGAGAGGGAAGGGTATGTGTTATAAACGATATATTTTTAACATCAAATTTTAAAGGGTTCCGCATGTAGCAGTAAGTAATTCCTTGCTACAGTTGAGAAAATAGAGAAAGTGAGGATTTCTCACTTTCTCTTTTCTTCACAAAAGTAGAAAGTATTTTCTTAAACTAAAAAGGTAAAAGTATTTTATTAAACATGATTTTTACTTTTGATTCTCGATTTTAGGAATTGATAGTAGAAATCAGGAATTATTCCTGTTACTAAACAGGCCCTAAGTCAACTAATTTGAAGCTTAATACTTTCAAATATATTGCATGTATAATTCGATACTTAATTACTAATTAAACGAAATAAATACACACTACTAATTTCTAATTTACACTTATATAATACTCCAATATAACGATGTAAGTATATAGTTATAAATTTAAAGCTTAGAAGTATTAGCATATGATTATATAGTAAATTTAGTAATATACTAATAACTTTAGTATAATTATATATGCTTACAACTAATATACTTATAACATATACACATTTGTATAGTTTATTAATTATTATAGACACGACAATGAAACTGGATGACTAAGATTAGTAAATTATGTGTTGATAATCAAAGATAAGAAATAGGATTGAAACCAGAATTTAGAATCAAGTATATTTATTATTTTTACATTCAAACTACATGGAGATTCAATCCAGAAATTCTACCAAATATTTAAAAAAGGCAGCCGTGTACTTATCACGATACAGGTCTTACCACATCTCGGCTTGCCAAAGTTGCATACATAGCGATGAACCCTGCAAAAGAGAAGGAAAAAACATGGCAGAAATAAGAATTTAAAATTCAAAGATCCAAAAATAAAGGAAAATCATCCGCTATATACAGCTGAAGTCACTCACCACTGTATCGACCCATAAGTTTCACTATCCCAACTCCATTTTCCACACTCTCAACCTCCACATGCGCAGCATTAATTGCCCTCTGAGCTTCTTCAACGGCAGTGTCAAAACCAAAAGATTTGTCTATCACCTGAGGAAAACACAAGATCAAACACCAGCAATTTCTTTGGAATTTATCATTCTTTGAATTATTCAAAGAACACTAGTTGTACCCTGACAAAGAAAAAAAAAATCACCAAATAAATTTCTCCTTTACGTAAAAATGCTTTCTTTTTTCTTTCACATCTTTTCTGCTAGCCGGAGAACTTGAGTAGAAATTTCAGGGCGTATAAACTAGAAGAATTCCTATACTTTTCCCAGGGAAAAAAAAAGGAGAGAAAGAAGAAGAAAAAGAAGATTTCCTTTAATGTCTGTGTAAAAGAGGTACAATGTGTAATAGATCAATATTACACACAATAGATCAATATTAACAACCATACACACATCAACTGAACATAAAGAACGATGCGCAATTCACGTGCGTGTATGGGAAGAACCCAGCAGTGAAAAACTCAATAACAATCATCGAATTGATGGCTGAATTTCAAAGATCTCTTTCCCTCTATTATTCTGCAATAAGTTAGGTGGCAAAAGTGTGGTGGTATTGACGTCCTTCCAAGGTTGCCATTCTGCAATAAATTAGGTGGCAAAAGTGTGGTGGTATTGACGTCCTTCCAAGGTTGCCATCATTTAGGAGAGTGCTAAAAAGAAGTGACTATGAGGCATTTCTAAAGCCACTGGTCTACCTTGGTCTTGGTGGCGTTGGATCTTAACTCTCAAGTCCCTTGTCAAGGGTTCAAGACTGGTAGGAAGCAGGAAAAGGCATTTCTAAAGACTGGAGAGGCATTTTCAAAGACCATCTGAATTCAAGTGCCCAGAAATGCCTTTCAGAATCACGTACTTAATAAATGCACTTGAACTAGAATCACCATTATTTTTACTCAAATACAAGGTCAGTGTATGGTAGAGTCCAAGTAAACTAATCCAGGACTAAGATAATAGTTATAATTACACATAACATTAACTTGGGTATGTCCATAAAAGTGTTGGTAAACTTAAATAGTTGACCAAACAACACAACTATTTAGCAAAAGCCAACTATTAATTTAAGCATGATACTTATTTTTTTATTTTCGTTTTGTTTTATGACTTTTCCAGTGACTAACTTACATGACTAAAAAAGGTTATGCAACTGCACATATTTTCAGTAAGACGAATAAGGGTCAGAACTCAGGAGACCATGGCTTGGTCTTTAACATGCCTTTTACCACATTGTGTAAGTAGGAATCTTTTATCCCTGATAAAATCATAATGTATGGTGTAGTTTGTAGAACTTACTGCAATATCATTGTCAATTGTCTTCGGGATTCCAGCTACTGCTACTTGGAGACCACGTCTCTCAACTTCCTTGACAAGAATATGTATTGTAACATCTTGCCATGAAACAGCTTGATTGATAAGCAACTAACGTGGAAAAATACTGTTGTTTATATAATCACTTACTTTATAAATGGCAGCTGCTCCTTTTTGAGTACCATCACCTCCAATTATGTACACCTGGAATTAAGAAAGAACATAGTATTCTCAGAAACTATTAAAAGCCTTGGTTAATGGTAGGCGAAAGAGAAAAGATATTCACCTGGTTTATCCCTCGGTCTTGAATATTATCAACTATCTTATGGGTATCATGACCGCCTCGTGAAGTCTGAAGAAAGGTGCCACCACGTTTATGGATATCATTGACAACTTTAGGAGTCAATTGCATGGTATTTTTAGAGTAAAAGCCTCTATATCCACCCTGGAATCATGATGTGGTGTGCAAACAACTTTTACATGTTAATTACAATTGAAGAATATCATCAAGAAATTAGGCTCATAACAAAGTCAATCAGAGATTCTTACATAAAAAAACTTACCGTAGCCACCATGAAATCTGAAAATAATTTTTTAATTTTACGCTCTTTTCCATCTATAATGGCCTACAACCAAGTGGCAGAAGACAAGTACCTCTGATTTGTATTATGCATGGAAGAACAACGCAAAGAACGGGTTTTGCATGATTAAACAAATATAAGCAGGCTGTTCCTAATACAAGCCAGGTTGTTACTGCTAGACAAGTCGCTCATTGTACATCTCCAAACATACTCCAATGTGTACTGAAAATAACTATTAGAATTATGTATGACAAACTACTTTTAGCTAATGTGTCTCCCAAAGGCAAAAATTGAGAAATCATTCATTTGCAAAAATCAAGCACAAAGTGATAAAAATTCAAGAAAAAGAGTTATTATAACCAATATATGAGGGCAATTTAACTAAAACAGCTAATGTATTTTAGAATAACAATTAATAACAAACAAACTGAATTTATTTTTTTCCAAATAAAGAATATAAAATCCACAATGAACTCACCACAATTCCAAGTATGTCATTAGCACCATACATATAATTCAAGCCACAGACTATCTCCCTAATCACTGTATTGATCCCTGGGCATAAACCACCGCATGTCACAATACAAGCACGCACTTCCTCTGACTTGAAATATACCTAACATCAAAGAGTTGACTAGATTTAATACCTCTTATGTCACAAACACATTAATAGGACAAAAAGTATACCATTTCTCGAGGCCCTGCACGACGAAAGTGCACTCCTCGAGGACTGTCCTTCTGAACAACAATCTGAAGGTAAAACATAACTGATAAAAGTTAAATATTGAAGACAAAAGTTTAGTTAAAACAAAAGATTACAGGTAAAAGTTCACATACTTGCTGTGCTACCACATCTTCTGGGCTGACAAAAGTTTGCCTGGCAAAATAGAAGATATTTACATCGAACAAGGCGGTGAAGTACCCGAGGAGGTTAGTCCATTAAGGCATGATGTAAACAAAACTTTAGAAGTATATGCATATCAGCGTGCGTGTGTGTGAAAAACATTGTGAACTTACTTGACTATGGCGTAGGCAGGGCTCTTTTGCAATGGGTTTGGGTACAACTGTAGGAAAAAAAATAAAAAATTATAAGCCACAAAAACCTATATCTTTGGGAAAAATGACGTGGGATTTGTTTAATATGATCAGAGTGAGGCAGTACACCCAATGAATTTTCACATCCAAGGCTATCCTTTCAGCTCTGTCAAATCTCTTCAAAATATCCTAGCCAATTCCTAACTCAAAAAATCAATAACAGAATTATGTAACTCATAATATCTCTTATTTACCATATCAATTGAATGATTAAAGTTGACGCGAATCAATTTCAAAGTCATGTTGTCAAATAGTTTATTAATCATATCCTGTACAGGTGCATGATCAAGTGATTTATATTTTGTTTACTGCACTGACGCCATATGGAAGAGCTATAACATAACTCTTTATACTTTTGTTGGGGTCCTAACTATTTAGGGTCATTTACATCATTTTCACGACTCATGTTCCTAGCTACCATGTGAAATGTATTCACATTTTTATTTCATCTGGATATAAACATGAATCATTACAGTACTTAGTTGCTTGCCAATTTGACTCAACTCTAAGGCATTGCAAGTTGGACAGTATATTTATCCTCAATCTGCTAAATTACACACGGAAGTAAATAAATTTCAAAGCTTTATGAGTCTAATAGTCTATTATCCCAGCCCATGCTAGTGCAAGATCCCTTCTCCTTAACAATCAACTAAAATATTCAAATTTATCTACAGTACTGATTCCACTGTGCCTGTGTGTAATACAGATCATACATCAGTCTATGAGCGTATTCACATGATCAACGAAATATATTGTATGCACACACAAATTTTCATAAATTGTTAATCATTTTTTTATCACACAAACACACACACTGCCCATACACTACTCTATGAAGAAAGTAAGAAAATTGAAAAGAAGCAGCGAATTCAAGCAAAAATTACCGGTAAATCAGGGAGGAAATTTGTCAAGTGAGGGACGTCTTCCAGGACAAAACCATCAACATCGCTCTGAATCGTGTTTTGAGCTCTGATTGGGTGATTTTGGCGCCAAACCAAAGGTTTTTTGAAAAACACTCTGGATTTAAAACTAGGATTGGGGAAATTGAAAAATGGTCTTAAACGACGTGATTTGAGCAGAAGGGGATCTTTAGAGAGAGAAAGTGAATGCGAATTTGCAGGGAGAGAAAGATCCATTGAAGAAGTAAAAGAGTTCGATTGCTCGAGAAGAGAGAGAGAGTAAAACAAGGAAGTTTAAAAATAACGAGTACGAGAGGGCTCGGCTCTGGCGATATCACCGATGATCACAGATGAGCTTCGCTCTTGTTAGTGAGGGCTCTTTTTAATGACCATACTCAAATCAGTTTGTCTGGTAACATTTTAAGAGTCCCGGAAGAAGAAAAATAAAAAATATATATTTAGAGAACATAATGATGTTTTATTAATAAATAAATAAATTTAAAAAATAAAATAAAATAAAATGAAGAAGAAGAAAGAAAGATGTTTTATTAATTTTCTTCCACAACTTTCTTGCGTGACATACATGGAAACCATACTTTTCATGCATTAAATACATGAAAGCGAAGTTTCTTATAAATTTTCAATTATTTCCATTCAATTTATTTTATTTTACTTTTGCTTTCCAATAACAATTTTCTTTTCTAACCAAGCGGGGCATTGACTTTTTTTTTTTTTCTTTCTTTTTTATAAATTTAATTAACTTGCATGAATATTCACGTCCCACTTGATTTCTTTTTAAAATATAAATAATTTCTTAATACTCCGAGTCTACGCTGCTGATCTTGACCAGCAAGTGATGTGAATCCAACGCTAGGATCAAATGGTCAAAATCCTATTATCACACAGCTCTAATAATTATGTATTATTATGTCTTAATAAGAAAACCAATCCTATTATTATACACCTCTAATTATTAGCAAATCTTCCACCTTCAGAATGGATCAACCAGACAAGAATCACAATGACTTCCACTTCATAAGATGGGGAAAAAATGAATAAATAAATAAAAGAGCACTGTTCTCATCTATTGATACAGTATGTCCATGTACATTAGGACATAAAATGAATAAAACAAAATTTCTTATACTTGCTTCTTTAATTTTTAGTGTTACATAAAATTAAAACCATCATTGAGAGACTCGACCCACGCCTCTTCAGCCTGCATCCAAGTCGCTTGTACAACTCTTTGTTCCAACAAAATGAGGATCAAGGAGCCAGACATGTTGCATCTTTTACCTAAATAACCTTCCAAAGCTGATACGCTTCTAAGGAAGGAAATGATCGATCATATGCTGTATAACATCTGCCCCATCTGAATGCATGTAGTGATTTTTGACCTGCAAGATATTCAGCTGAAGTTGAAATCTCCTCTATACCATTGGGGGAAGGAAAAAAATTTTGTTACATGAAAGTTTATATATTATAGGCCTTCAAACTCCAGGAGGTATACAGTTCTGAACTAAATATAAAAGGGGTAGCCCAGTGCACGAGGCTCCCGCGATTGCTGAGTCTGGGAAGGGTCAGATGTAAACATGTTTACCTTCATGCAAAGAGGCTATTTTCAATTTTGAAACCGTAACCTCCAAGTCACAATGAAGCAACCGAGGTCCACCCTCAAAATATGGAAGATCAAATTTGAGTATTAAGTGTGCTCATTTGCGGGATCAGAAGCTTTCATAGAAGATGTTTAGAAAATAATAAACAAACAAATAACACATTTAAAACCAGTAGATATTGAGGACAATGGGATCTGTATAGCTGTTCTGGGAACTCACAGTAACAATGTATCTGCATAAAAACATTAACGCTTCGCTGATAATAGAAGATGAACTCTCAATTCTGCTAAATTGAGGAAAAAGAAACTAGGTCTTTTAATTTTCTTTTTCATTTTTAAAGTTCTGGTAGGCTGCTCATCCAGGTAATATTCACATATATGCAATAATGCAACAATTCAATACTATTGCCAACCAACACTGATCCATGTTACATGATAAAATAGAGTCCATCTTCACCTAAAACAGTATCGTTGTATGAGGCTTTATACTCCAAAAAGAAAAGAAAAAAGGAAAAAAACAGTCCAAATGTCTGCAATATAATGTAATCTGTTGTCTATCTCCTTCTTCCACAGTATGATCCCTTCACGACGTCAAAAGGTTACCAACGAAGTACGAAAAAATCCATCAAAGCAGTGAAAACAATACATTCATTGAGACAATGACCAACTAGAAGAATCCTAGTTACATCTGTTCAGTTAAGATGTATATATAAATTACATCTAGCCATCCAGGTATAGCAACCATAAAGATATCAACACAAGTGTTTGCAGCCAGATATACATGTGTTTGCCTGAGATAGAGAGCTACCTGAATAACACTATGAGCAGAAAACCTCAGTCTGCTGCTGTGAAAGCTCACGTCTACTTTTTCCCATGAAACACGAGATAGGCCAGTCACCAGCTCCTCTGCATGGTACAGTGAAACAATGAATCCGCAACATTAAGAAACCCATATATAGAAAAGAAAATACAATTAAAAAAAGAAAGTACTGGAAAAAGATAAATCAGGTATTAAAATTATTTGACCATAAATGCAAATTTGTACATAATTATCCTAGTAGATCTCATCACTAACAGCCGATAAGATTGCATTAAGAGAGGGAGCAGAGTCCTGAGCTAGAAATCCAGCTCTGCAAGTAACTTGGTCTTGACCATTCTCAGACAAGTTATTGATGCAAGGGAATGATAATTATCTTTATCCCTTGTTTTATACAGTACTAGTTTAGTATGTAAGATGGAAGCTATTTTTAATATAAATCCCATCAGCTTCCTACATAAATCAAGTACTTGGAAATAGAACATGTAATAATAAGCATGCATACGCTACATGACAAATTAAGTGTCAAGTTTCATTTCTTCATATAATAAAGAAAAGAAGGAGCTATTATGGCACTCGAGTGTATTAAATTGAAAAATAGCATGCAGAGAATAACCTGTAATTCATTAAAGAGAGATAATTTCGAAATGTTGAGAGTACCACATGAGAAATATATTCTCTGATTCGTAAACAAGGAAACTATGACGATGCTGGCAAAATTATGTTCTCCGATTAATAAAAAAGAAATTATACTAGACGGGTGATAGATCAAGACACATGGAACCACAAAATACAAATACATGGGTAATACCAAGTCCCTATCATTCAATCATCATAACGGTGAAGTTAACCCCTCCTTTATTTTGAGAGGGGAAAAGAAAAGTCAACCTCAAACATAATCTCAAAATTTTAATGGAGCTCAATCTCAAACATAATCTCAGAAGTTTAACCCTCTTTCTTCTACTATTTTAAGCTATATCGAATATTTCACATTTTAAAATACAGAAACTCTCATCACTCTTTGCGGAATGGTACAAGGGGTTTGAACAGGACACCCTTTTCCCGACCCTCCCAGGAACAAATAACACAAAATGCAAATCCAAAACAAAGTATCACAGGTTGAACAAATCTTCAATCAAGGCGGCACTCTGCCGTGGGAGGCAGGGAGTGTCACCTGTTGGACATGTATGATTATGAATTAAAATCCTCAACTAAAGTGATGGCACTCTAATATATATATTATTGAAACATGATGACTGGGAAAGAAAAAGTGACAAGAAAGTATGTCCAACATAGATCAATAGATTGAAGTCTGAACTCTGGTAAAGAGTACGTGTCAAGGGTTGCTGAAACCAACCAAATATTGAAGAATCAAATTGTGTGCCCACCAAGGACATGAACTTGGAATAGTAGCAGCAACTACCATAAAGAAAATAATAAACAAATAAAACTTAACCAGAATTTCCGTGCTTTATAAGAAAATTTTAAGTTACAAACCTTCTAGGGCGTCTGAACCATGATCTTCCATTAAAATGGACTCACACTGCTCAGGATCAGAAGCCTTGCAGTGTTCTTGATATACGACATGCGGATATTTTTCATTTAGAGAATCCTCCCACTATAAAAAACAATTAGATGTCTCAGTCATTGAATTGAAATGCAAGCAAAACTAGAGCACAATCAAATTAGGCAAGTTGAAGACAGACCTTTGGCAGTTCACTATTGCGTCTGATTGATGATGTCCTCCAGCCAACAATATCTAAATTAGCAATTTATAAAGGCAAACAAGGAAAGCATAATTTAGCAAGTGTAGATAAAATATGAGGTGCAACGGCGTCCTTGTGCCTGGTTTTCCTGGATCTGTGTTGCCAAAGCTTGGATCAGGGGTTCAATGACTGGTACAGAGAGAGAGAGAGAGAGAGATGAAAGAAAAGTGGAAAGATAATGTAAGAGCTCCATCAATAATGTACAAAGGATACGGTCATAGCCAACATTTGAATATGCCACTCGTCGATTAAATAAACGTAATGCAGACCTGCATCAATGAGTTAAGCGTCATATAGCAACCATGTTTTTAAATTTATTGATAAAGATAAGCCAAGAAACCAAGGATCTGCCAAAAAAATTTATGGGCTCAAGTCACATACATGAAATAACATTCATCATAATCCTCCACCATGCGTTTGAGCAATGGAGGCTTTCCTTCATCATCATCAGTAAGAAAAAGGTGTTGACCCGTTCGCCTAAATATCCAGTGAATAATAACACCAGCAAATTTTTCAATGGCAGTTATACCAAAAAGAAATGGTACCTGCAAATTACCCAAAGACCAAATGTAATGCATGTATACAACTCAATCCAATCAATAATATAAAACCAAAAATATGCCAATTAAATTCAAGGAGTTCCTTTGGCTTGCTCAGTGCCAGAGAAATCACTACTAGGATGAGAGATTGCTAGGTCAAGAACATGTATTCAGCTGACAGAACCAGTTTCATGTCAGGTATCATGTGGGTGCAATGGAACCAGCTCAGATTTTGATCTATTTAACTGCTGTCAGATAAATATAGATCAATGAGTTGGAGCCGATTTCTCGAACAATTGAGTATAACATTGATGATTATCTGAGTATGTGTAATGTTACAACAAACACCGCAAATCAAGAACATGGTCAAGAATCACGCAAGAAAAGTAAACCAGCCACACACAAAGAACACAAAGATTTAGGTGCTTCAGCAAAGTCTACATCCACGGTGAAGATTAAGCAGAAGATTTCATTATGCGAAAATCAAGAGATTACAAGTTTCAGCCCTCAAGCCCTAGCTCTCACTCTCTCTCTTTGTGCGATTTTCAGTGTTCTCTTGTTCCCCACTCCAAACCCTAAACACCCTTATATACTAACTAGGTTACAAGAGAGTTCTAATCAGGGTCCACGACCCACAAAAGAAAACGGGCCTTTCGGGTCAAAACCAGGTCACGACACAATCCGTCTGAAACAAAATTCGAACCACAACATCAGATGTGCATACAGCCAGCTAACAGCCCATCCCCCTCCCACCTCACCTGCCACCCAAAAATAAGGAAAAATAAGAAGAAGGGATTTGGTGGGGGGAATGATCCTGCTTCCCCTTATGTTCAAACATTTGTCACCATTGAGAAAGAAACTAATATACTGCTTTAATAAGCCAAACAAATAAATAATGACATTGGGTTGCTTTTGGAGGGGCTGAGAAGAGTATGAACCCTAAGGCAGGGGTCATCCCTTTAAGCGACCCCTGCCTTCTGTTGAGGGAGCTCTCTTCTTAAGGAAGATGATTTCACTTATTTAACAGCTCTATATGAGACACATCATCTTCAAGCCACCAGTCGGACATACCTCAACATTTCCTCACTTAACCAACTGACCCATGGCATGGCTTTACTTGGCTATGAACCATCCATAGAACGGCGACCGTTGACTGCTTCTTTTCAAGCGGAATCTGGAGTCAAGTCTGAGACGTATGCAGAGGACGATCCAACATCTAGGAGTGGGTCCTATCTTGAAGAGTGACATTCAAAGAGCGATTTTCCGTGTGAAATGACCTCTTCAAAGCGCCTGTCGTCCAAGTGGGATAAATTAGGCAACTCCGCCTCTTGTCTAGCTGCTCTGCTCGTGTCAATCCTTTCTTCAATCCTAAGATTCACACCGTGCAAAAGTGAAACCAATCACGAGATTCTAGCAACTCAAACTAATACGAACGAACACAGTCAGTGAAGATGGGGAAGAAAGATCAGGTACAGGCTCAAAGAGGAATTGAATATGTTGACTACGACCAGGGAGATTCCATAGTTCTTGAACTCTTGTTTGCCCTTGCATTCACGATATCCATGTTTGACTTGTTATACGGAGCTTGTAGGTTTCTTGATCAGGTAAGGCTTCTTTCTGGTGTTGATGGCTTAGGCTGACTTCTTCATGAATGTGCGCGGGTTGGACGCATTCTCGGGAGATTAGGAAGATGTTGAACGAGTAAGGAGTTCAGTCAAATGTAGAGAACCGAAGTCGGAACCCAGCTGCATATGTTTCCCGGCCTATCTAAGAACGATAGCATGCTTAGAAAGAAGCGTACAATACTAATGGCGTTAGGAGAAAACTTTTCCTTTTTGAGCAGGTCCTACATTTTAGCGGCGAAGGCAGGTTTCACGATTTCTAAAGGGCTCCTATCTATTATCTATTACGCGTTCTTCTGTTCTGTTTGTTAATCGATCGATACCAGGCACCTGGGACGGTTTAGAATGAAAAGCCGATTCTATGTATGTTTTTCAGATGTAAAAACCTGGCCCCCTGCGAATCCGTAAATCTGAGGAGCATGCTGCAACAAAAGGATGGTCCCCTATGCATTTCATTCTTTCCGGAACCCGTGTTTTCGGCTTAAAGTGCGTTTTTGCCTTACGACCATCAAAAAAACAAAACACTTTTAGTCTGATATAGCTGGCAAATGAGCCCGAGGTCCTCATTCCCTGTTTTTTCAAGGTTTGGATCTTCGCTTGAGCTGTTGTAAGCTAACTCCCGGCGAAAACCCTGTGCCAACTAGCCTAGGAGGAGTATCCAGTCTTATAGGCTTAGGTCTCACCGAGGCTCTTTGCCTCGAGTGTCTATTGCTCTAAGCCTCAATGGGTCAACCCCTGTGAGAGGACTAGAACGCTAGCATGTTTGCCTTTTCGATGGGGAATCACTTTTTTTCTGAATGAAGCACGAGCCATTTTCTTTTAGTTTGTGATCGGACCGTACCAGTCATAATGAATATTAGGATGTTGAACATCTTGTAATCATCGACAATCTAGATGTTAGACTGGTGAAAGGAAAAGATTCCACAAATTGACTACCAAAATTAATTTGGAAAAGTGATATCTAGGGAATTAAATCACAGTGGTTAAGAACTGTAAAATAGAAAAGTATCGAGCACTGTCCCTGTTGTCTTTTGTATAAACTATTGGTTTCAACTTTCAAATGTTCTTTTTTGTTTTCCCTTTCTTCAAATGCTCGAGCCACCCATGTTTTTCTGGTCAACATTCCCAAATTCGGCACCACTTCGTTTAAGGCCCTTCTTTTTGCAATAGCCAATCGAAAGTGCTATGATTTTCATAACCACCCTTTGCTCATAACAAACCCTCATGAATTTGTACTCTTTTTGGAGATGTACGCGAATGAACACCCAACTTTGAATCCTGACATTCCTCTCGTCTACCCATATTCCTTATACTTCACTTCATGTTTCCACAAACGCAGTGAACCCAAGAAACACGCCACACATAAAGATTTAGCGTGGTTCGACAAAGCCTATGCCCATGGTGAAGATCCAGTGAGAGAATTCACTATGCGAAAATCTGGAGATTACAAGTTTCAGCCCTCCAAACCCTAGCTCTAGCTCTCATTCTCTTTTCAGCGATTTTCAGTGTCTCTTCGTCATCCCACTCCAAACCCTAAGCGCCCTCATATATCGAGCTACAAGACTACTAAACTGGGTCCATGACCCGTACGCAAAAAACTGGGTCAAAATTCACAAAGCTGAATCAACGGGTTGTTGGGTTGCAATGCGAACCGAAACCAAATTTGGGCCACAACATCACACTTCCCAAATTGATATTAGATCACTCTGGTTGTCGTAGACCCAAAAACTGCCAATCCGATCCATAGAAGAGTCATTTGAGCAATTCTATAGAGGGGTCTCACCATATGGACCATTTTGGGATCATGTTTTAGGGTATTGGAGAGCAAGTGTGGAATGCCCTGATAGAGTATTGTTCTTAAAATATAAGGACATGAAGAGTGAACCCTTTGTTCTTGCAAAGAGATTGGCAGAGTTCTTAGGCCACCCTTTTTTCTCAGAGGAAGAGAATGAAGGTGTGGGTAAAATAGTAGAGTTGTGTAGCTTTGAGAATATGAGCAAATTGGAGGTGAATAAGATTTTTATTTTCACATTACTAAATCCTCCCCCTCCCCCACCCCACCCCACCCCACCCACACCCACACCCACACAAATTAATGTTTCTGGATCTGCCCCTGATCCCCCCTCTCTTTTTCCTGGACTAAATGCACCATCTTGCACTGAGAATAATACCTATTCCTTTCCCGAATCACATATAGTAATTACTTGTTCATCTCATCAACTTCAGCAATTCGTAAGATAAATGGAACATTTAGTCTTTGACATAAAAAAAACCCGGATGAATGTGAAAAAGAAGAAAAGACCATACCTGCTTATGACCCCTCGAACCAAGATGAGGCGTAGCAACAGTGATGAAGTTCATTGGTTCCAAACCACCTATTGTACCCTTTGGTTCCTTTTCACAGGCCTTGACTGGTAAATCCTCTGCATTTTCCCTTTTAGGAGGTCTATACAATCTCCCAATGGCAAATCTTGCCGCTAGTCCTCCTACAGAATGTGCAACAAAAGAAATCTTTCTTACACTTGGCCTCTGTTTAATGACTTCAAGAACCTGGAATTCATAAATTCTGTCAATATCAAACTGCATGTGGATGTATCTTGTTATGAAACGTTAAGCAGATTTATGATCATGTCAAAGCATAATGCACGAGTAGCACAAAGCAGAAAACACCTCTTCTGCCAACCGCTCGCCCATTACATCTACACCATCTAATGACAACTTCGACATATTCCGTTCACTACCTGCAAAGTAAGTCAACCAACATGAGCCAGATGATGCAAATAATCATCCATCACAACTAAGATATTGACAATCCTTTCAACTTCTACAACCAAAATTAAAAATTCTCATTTAACCACTTGTACTAAAAATGTCAGATTATAAAGGCTACAAAGGCTCATGAGAAGCAAATCCCTTAAGATTTGACCAAAGAGACAATCACTTCATCGGACCTACTTTCAGGCCAAAGCATCAACCAGTTTTAGATAAGCACAAATGTTAAGTTTTCACCCAAAAACAATTATGCTTCCAAGTCATTGCCCAGTATGCTAGAGCACAAGCAATGGGTTGAACAAACTAATGAATTTTGATCCATTACAACTCAATACCAAGCCCATATCTAGCCTGCTTGTTAGCCCATTATTAAGCCTATAAATGCAATACAAATCTTATTAGGAGTCCCTTTAACTAGTGCATGTTAAAAAATCCCTCCATAAAATTAAAAAGAAGCGCAAAAAACCAGCACAAAGACTTTCTTTTTCCTGTTTTGGTACGATAATAACCATTTAAAGCTGCTATCCCAAATGTTATGTTACTTTATGATTAGCAAAAACAATTATGCTTCCAAGTCATTGCCCAGTATGCTAGAGCACAAGCAATGGGTTGAACAAACTAATGAATCTTGATCCATTACAACTCAATACCAAGCCCATATCTAGCCTGCTTGTTAGCCCATTATTAAGCCTATAAATGCAATACAAATCTTATTAGGGGTCCCTTTAACTAGTGCATGTAAAGAAATCCCTCCATAAAATTAAAAAGAAGCGCAAAAAACCAGCACAAAGACTTTCTTTTTACTGCTTTGGTACGATAATAACCATTTAAAGTTGCTATCCCAAATGTTATGTTACTTTATGATTATATGATAGCGTAGACCCTATTACAACAAATGCAAGCTGTTGCGAATTGATTCCAGAAACAAGTTATAATTATCAGTTATATCACACCCATTACATGGCTGATTGTGCACATGATTCAGTGGGATTCTGATGCCTTCAGATGATTATATGGAAATAAATGCCCAAATCTCTTTTTCCTCATCCAGTCTTTTAGTTTATTCATCGGTAAAAATTCTCAAATGGCTCTGCCCATGCAAAGAAGACATTGTAAGATAATAACCATAAATAAAAACAAACCAAAAAAAAGTTCAAAACAAGTATCAGTATAATGCAGAGACTAAATTAAAGCAAACAAAAAAGCAGGACAAACAACAAATAGCCACCATGCAATCACAGAATTCAAGTAACCATCTGTATAATACAGAGGGAGTAAAGGAAAGATTATGATGTGGTATCCCAAATTGTAAAAAAAAACATCTTGCACAAGGAGATGCTACTTACAGTGAACAAACACTTTATCAGGGAGCATCCTAACAAACTGCTCAGCTGCAAATTTCCAATCTGTGGCACTGCAATAATAAGGGAGCAGCAACATAAAAATTATGAAGAAGACAGTTTTTAATTGAAATCAAGTAAATAAAATTCCATAAAGCCAAGTGTCATGGCCAGGAAAATACTCAAAAAAAATACTTCCTTTTTCCCTTTCAAATCCTCAAGAGGAAAAACACATGCCAACCTCTCTAATTAGCTTCAATCAAAAAGTTAGCTGATACTATTCTACTTTTAAGGTTGATTACATTTTACCACTTGTGGTTACGCTAATGTAGTTCAAAGTGTGACACCAGTAATCCAGCATCCTTGTAGTAGTGTATGAAGTGTGAAAAAAAAAAGGGGGGGTTTATACTGAAATGAAAATTATCTTCTTTCAGGGGATAAAACTATTACTTTCTGAAGTATTTAGGTAAATTTTCCATTCCTCGATATTTCCACACAATAATGTCAATAACTAAAATTTCATCTATAATCCCGAAAACGCAAATTCAAAACTCAAAGTAATTATTAAATCAGATGATCTCAACTTTCAAACATCAGAAACTCTCTCAGACATCAAATGCAATTTTAAAAATTTTAATAAAATGAAATTATCCACAGAACACAATTAAAGTTCAACGTCCCCAAATTACAAATTCCTCTATACACTACAAAAAAACACAAGTAATTAAAGGATACATTAGTGCCGAAATTTATCAATTTACACTTAAAAATTCAACGTGCCTGCCAAATTAAACAAGTTTAAAGCAAAATTCATCGAATACAAATTCCAATAAAAGAATTCAAAACAAAAAAATCAAATTTAAGAAAGTAGGTAGATATATATACACACAGAAACACCTATATAGAGACGTATATGTATTCTATCTGACCTTCCAAGAATTCCATGGATCATAACAACTAGATGATCAGCTGAAGAAGCATCGGCTTCGTTACAACTCCAAATATTTGGACCTCCATTAATCGACTCCGAGTAACACACACCGTTCTGTGTTTTACCATTTTCCATTTCTGTGGTATTACCGTTTTCCATTTCTGTGGTTCGTCCAATTTTAGGTCACTTTTCTCAGCATTGGCACACAACAATTGAGAATTGGAAAAGGAATTGCAGCGAAATAGAGCGAAGCAGAGCAAAGACTGATCGGCCTTCGTGCTTTCCGAATTTTAGAGAGAGAAACCTGAGAACGAAAGAAAGCTAAAATGACGTAACGAGAGGTGTACGAATTTAAAGAAGTGTCGTTGAATGTAAAGTAATACTTTAGTGAACGTCTGGTCCATCTCGGGTTAGGTTCGGTTACGAATGAAATTCCGTGCCTGAGGCTCGGGGTTATAAAACTTATGGGACCCATCTATTTTATTTATATTTCCCAAAATAAAATATCCATCTTATCCAAAATAAATGTTCTTTCTAATCTAATATTCTTATTCTAAAAATAATAATAATAATAAATATTTTTTAAAAAATTTAACTTTTTCAGAAGAAAAATTTTAAATTCTTTAATCATATTGATAGTGAATGAATTATCAAATTTATTTAAAAATGAGTCTAAATAATTTACTTTTTATAAGTTCAATGAAAATTATATTAATAATATTACAAAAAAATAATAATACTTTTTATATGATCCATTTTAAAATAGGAGGTAATTAATTATTTGTAAAATTGTACCTATCTTTCTAAATTTCATCTTAATTTAATATATTTGTTGTTGATTAAAGTTTCAATCATGTATATATCAAATTGTATATTTATTTTATTAAAATAAACGTATTTTATAGAAATAAATAAAAGTAAAAATAATGTTTATTTAAATTAAAATTTTAGAATAATTACATAATATTTTTATATATGTCGCTTTTAGATCCGGTATTAAAATGGTCAATAATAATGTTTTTCTAAGTACATTTATAAAGAAGAGAGAGAAAGAGAGAGTCGGCATTTACGGTAATTTAGTGGACACTTGGCAGAATTGGAGAGGATTTGGCTGTAACGAAGCGTAAACGCGTTGGATAAGTATTCGTTGAAAAGGGCGGCTTTAGAAAAATGAAAAGGAGATGACGAGATGTCAATTTTTGAGATACCGACCTCACTAATTTTTATTTTTTTTTAGGAAAATTACCGACCTCACTAATTTGACACTACGTACTTGATATGTCGTTTGTTATTTTAGTATTTTATATGTTAATTTTTTATTTACCGACTAAACCACTTGAATATATAAATAAATAAAAATTTATATACTCTATTAAACTACTAATACGGGTACGTTTTTTAGGGGACTTTTATACTCCTGGCATGAGAGAAGGGATGAGAGAGGAAAAGACAGAGAGATGACAGATTTCATTGTTTGATAGGAGGGAAAGTAGGAGGGAGGGAAAGATATGACAAGTTTTTAATTGTTTGCTAACAAATAAATAACTAAATAAAAGAGAATAATACATAAATATGGCACGTCATATTTTATTATCCGATCAATATTAGAAAAGGTTTTATATTTCTATTTTTCAAAAAGATGTCAGCTATTCAAGTTTCACTAGACGCGAAATGCCTGATTGAATTATTTTAACTTTCAAAATAAAATATTTTTGCTAACAATTTAATTGTTTCACTTAAATTTTATTAAACAAAAAGTTTAATAAAATTTAATTTCCTTAAAACATCTCATTCGCCCTTTTCTACTACTCTTCTACTAACTTTACTCATTCTTCTTACCAAACTGAGCACACATTAACTTATTTAATTGATAAATCTTTGTTTAGGGTATATTCTGTAACATAAAATTAGAGTTTTAGAATTGAAATCGGTGAATTTTTAAAAAAAATTGATTCAATTTTCTTAATTAATTTTCTCTAAATTTAATTTTAAAAGTTCAATTCTTAGCAATCGAATATACCTTTACTTTATTTGGATTCTAAATTTTTTTAACGATTTGCACCTTTACAAGCTATTTTTAATGCCCAAGAAGTTAGAAATTTGAAACGTGTGCGCATGAAGCACGTAGTGTGTATAAAAAACATGCACCCGTATGTAGGAATACAGCCTATTCCTTTCACATAGAATTGATGGTGCCCAATATGTCTTATTGTCCAAGGGAAAAAGAAGGGAGAAAAAATATCAACGTTAAACTATTGATTTATGATGAATGTTAGTGCACGCACATAGTGCCGAGGTTTAGTTTGTTCACACTCGATTCATTCATTTGTTTGTTTAGCTTGACTCGGTTTAAGATTTGAATTTCAATGGACAAGTTTGGACTCGAGTTGCTATTCTTTTGAATAGGTTGGATTCGATTCGACTTTGTTTAATTAAAACAACCAATCTCAATATCATTGGTTTAGATTGAATTTGCATTCAAAATCGCTTTGACTTATTTCTTTACCTTATAATAATCTACAAGCTTACATATTCATGAACAAATGCAACTCTGTACAAATTTATGTGTATGAATATTTATTATGAACACATGCGAACTTGTACAAGTTTAGTATTCATTAGTTTGCCATCTGCACCAACTAGCCAAGCCAAAAAAAATTCGAAAACAACTCAAAATTGAAGTTAAACTCAACCCATTAACTCAATGAATGACTTCGTACCGAACTTTAAACAAACCAATCCCCAACTCTTCAAGAACAACCCACTCATTTGCAGCAATTAAATTTGTGAGGCTTTCCTACTTGTTCCCTTGACCTTTACATCAAATATGCATCTTGAGACGTTTTAAGTTTTTTTGTGTTAGTGGTCCCCTGATATATATATATATATATACACACACACACGTTATATACTTTTCAAACTATGATATAATAATATAACACAAAATGACGAGATCCATTTTATAAAATTTAAATAATTTTATCAAGTTTCAATCACATTTTCTATTAAGCAGGACCAAATAATTTCAGATTCCCAATCTTGCAAATGCTATTGTTTGTCACATGTATACACCCTATCCCAATTTTAGGCGACAAGACCATAACCATAGCCATAGTTCATGGTTGACGTTATAGACATCCCTACCACACTTATCCACAGGTACCAAAGTCAAAAAAAAAAAAAAAAAGGACTGTTGCACATGATTGTGGGTTCAACACTCGCCCATTCTTGTATTGTTCTCAATAGTACCAGTACGCTCCAGCTTTCAAGGCCCAAAGTTGAAACACACAAAAAAAGATGTTCTAGTTTGTTCCAACAATTTGTAGCGGTGAGAACAAATTGGCCCAAGATGGAAGTAGGGTTTGTTTTCATCTGTCGTGGGCGATTCGGTAGGCGATTGTAGAGGCGATATTGCGCGCTCTGGTCTGCCGTTCCGGAGGCGAATCCAAAAATCCCACCTGTGCGTTGCTGAAAACGATCTCTATCCCACCTCTGCGTTTTCCGGCGAACCCCACCTCTGCGTTTTCCGTAGATGTGTCACTCCAGCGAGCTCTTGTGCGCTCTCGTATGCCGATTCCGGAGGCGATTCCAAACTATTCGTGCTATGTTGCTGAAAACAATCCTAGATCTGAATATCTGAAGTTTGAAAACGACGACCCACGAGTAGGATTGCGCTCTCGTCTGCCGTTATTTTCAACCTTCGTTATTTTTTGAACTCAATTTTTCTTTGATCCAAATTCTCAAAATAGTGTAGCTGCTATATATATATATTTTTGTTTGATCCAAACTCTCGTCTTGCAATTTCTTCACCTGCTATATATAGATATATATAGTTTACACTCTTGTACTTGAATCCTCATTTTTTATATTTGTCAATCTAAAATTTAAAAAATAAAAAATAAAATGGAGAAAGAAAAGAACGAAGAAACAAATTGTGACTTATTATTAGATAATATAATATGTGATCAAATTTGTTTTTCTATTTTTAGTATAAGGGCACTGTGAAGAAGCAAACTTTCTATTTACAGGTTTTTATAATATTTTAATAAAAAAACTGAACACTCGTAACTTTTTCATGCAATGAAATTTATTGGTAATATTTACAGGTTTTTATTGGTAAATTTTTAACAAAGGAAATATAACAATTTTTTTTGGTAAATTATAATTTTGGAATTTGTCACTTAAAAAAATATATATATATATTTCATATTTTTTTTTTACTAATTTTGGTTACACTTTTACCCTACCAAACATGTTTTGTTCTTGTATTTCTTGAAATGAAATACATTGTCAAACATGTTTTACCATGTTTTTGTTCCAAAAGTCTTAGAGCAAATTTTCGTCGCCAAACATGTTTTGTTTTCATTTCAGAATACCACACTACAAAACACTTGTTTTGTTCTAAGCTAAAGCATTACACTATACCATACAACACTTCCCAAACGGGTGTGACCATGTTCGAGTTCTCTTACTTTCTAGATTATGAGGATAAAAAATAAAAAATAAATTTTTATTCATAATACAAAGTGTAATGACGTGACTTTGTTCGAGTTAGTAATTTAGTAATTCAACAGTACCTTAAAACATTTTAATCAACATAATATCACATTATGTTATCGTGCTAAATTGAATAGTGCTAGGTCCTTAAATGTATAAATCTTGGTTGTAAATATACTGTATTATAGATTCACATGCACTCATTTCAGAGCACATGACCAACTTTCTAATGCAGTTTTTAAGAATAAAGTGCAAAAAAATCCCTTCAAACTATTGTCTTTTAACAAATAACTTGTCTGAACTACAAATTATCTCTCTGAATAATTAATTTGTTATAATTAAGGACATTAGATAAAACTATTTTATCCTTTCTCATTAAATTATTTTTATTTTATATTTCTCTTATAAAAATGTTAATTATACCATTTACCTTAATTTTATTATTAATATCAATTCATCATAAAATGGGGGAAAAAAAAAAAAACAAAACGAAAAAAAACAAATAAAATTTTAACTACCATTTTCTAAAGTATTAATTTATTATTAAAAATTTATTATTTATAATAAAACTTATTATACTAAATTTAAACTTTGTTTAATTAAAACAACCAACCTCAATATCATATATAGTTTGGACTTAGATTGAATTTGTATTCAAAATCGATTTGACTTGTTTCTTTATACCTTATGCTAATCTACAAGCTTATATATTCACGAACAAATGCAATTCCGTACAAACCTATGTTCAGGAATATTTATTATGAATAGATGCGAGCCTGTACAAGTTTAGTATTTATTAGTTTGCTCTCTGCACTAACTAGCCAAGCCAAAAAAAATTCGAACCAACTTAAGA